TATTAAAAAAGAAAAACTGAAATATCACATGGTCATAAGTATTCAGAGCCTTTGCTCAGTATTTATATAGAATTTATGAAAAATGTTATGTTATGTGATATAACTAAGTCCAATAAGGATTACTCTTTATACTTTTTCATAAATTATATTTAATTGACTAATAGATAAGCTGCTTGACTTTAGATAGAGAGATGTAAAGACAAATATGACAACAGGTTAAAGGGTGTCTAATAGAGACAATGGTATTTTTTATATTCCAGTATTCCAATGATTATAAAAATACATATGACAGTGATTTTACTTCAAAGCACTTTAAAATGTGAGTAACAGTCACAACATTAGTAAGAAAACTGAAAAGTGATAATGAAGAGATTCATTTAAAATCAATAAACAAAAGAAATTGCTTGACCGAAGCTTTATTTTGAAAAGTAGAGATACAACCGGAAGAAGCTTTACTTTGATGCAGGTAAAATACGGACTAGGTCTACACCTATCATAGCCGGGAGGGATCAGTGTTGAGGCGAGTGTCTGGTTGGAGTTTTTTGGCATAATTGTCTCAACTTCTTGCGATATTTCGCTAATACGTCTATAAAACAACACCAGAGAATAATTAATCAATGAACTAAACAGCAACACGCACCACGTGACCCCCTGTTCTTTTGTTCTTCACTGAAACAAATATGTACTATTATATTCCCCAAACTGAGACGGCTTTCCTCAGTGTAACTATATTAATCCAGATGTTTGTGACAATATTAAAAAGTGATAAATAAATACTGACGACTCTTCAAACCACGAGGGGGGAGACCAAAAGCACTGGACAGCGCCCGTGGTTTGATCCCGGGGAGGGAGTTGACTGCTTAATCAAAGAGATTTGCTGTACGAAGTAACCACTGAGCTACACCAGCGCGTGGGACAACGAGGAAAGTCTCTTTATAAAGACTACTGCTGTCTACTCTATGTCATAGTTCTGGCCAAACAACCGCACAGCACCGCAACATAGCCTATATGCGTATCCCCAGTATAGAAAACAACAGCTAAAAGCTAGTTGTTGTGTAGTAGGCTACAAAACACTGAACAGCGCCTGTGCTTTGGTCACAGAAACCGATGGAATTGCTTAATCAAACAGACTCGCAGTACGAAGTAACCACTGAGCTACTGTGTGCTAGTGCGTTTAAAACAGCCGGACGTCACCACACAGGATGCTGCAGTTTTCATTGGGTTGCAGATGTGGATAATCATCTTTACAGCACTGCAACAAACCTTACATGCGCCTATCCTCTTAAAGAAAACATTAGTCTACTATAAAAGTTATCTGTTGTGTGGCATTTCTTTCTTTTTGAAGATTTGTGTCTGGGCATACTGTAATGGCATTCATCATACACAGCCTAGCTAGTGGGAAGTCTCAGGCATTTAAACATCTCTGGGTCATTCACACAGATGACACATGTAATACCCCAGTTCTTTAATTGGACAGCTCTGAATAACGAAGGAGTTAATTATTTTAACCAAAAGCAAAAATTACAAACACGACCCAGGTTGCTCCCTCCTCCAGAAACACAGACACTGGCTGCTGGAGGGAAGGAGTCCCTGGCCACACAGAGCCTAATATATTTATAAGTTTTGGGCTAACCCCTTACTCAGGTGAAGTCAGTCCACAGACTGCATCTCTTATCTAGTACTCCAGCTGCATTTCTACCTAGTCATAACAAAATGAAGAATCTCAATGTGTGTGTATGTTGTCACGTGGTGTGTAGCTAAGGCATTCATTCAGACATAATATTCTAACACAAGATTAATACAGGAAAACAATTGGTTCACTTTTCAGAATCAACGTTCTGTCTGTTAACCTTGAAACAAAACAGACTAGAGCAGACTTTGAATCTTACTAAATTGCATTACTAACACATTAAGGTCTGACAATTACTAATATCTAACACACATAAGATTGCTGATGACAAATGAGAAGCAGAAAGGCCACAAGAAGATTGGAGAGTGGCCAGGGTCACATGAATGTGTGAATTGGTGTGAAAACTGGGAATTAAGAGATCAAGTTGGCAGCAAATGCACCATTTGTTCAGTTCAAGGACAGGTGACATTTCACACATTCAAATCAAATGTGTTCTCTGCCTTTTATATAGTTTTTATATTTCTAAGCTATGTTTTTGTTTAATAGGTGTGACAGGGTAGCTCTGTAAGTATCTCGTCTGGAATCCCCACCCTGGAGAAGAGCTGGACCAAGGTGCATAGAACGGCAGGGGCAGTAATGGTGCTCAGTGGAAAGGCCTCTGGGAGCCTACTGTGTTTCTGTTGCCTGTAGCATACTCACCATAGTTCTGTGTTGTAATTGTCCTGTACTGTAGCTTACTGTTTTTAATGCTTTATAGTGAAGTCAAAGAAAATTGGTGATTAAAGTCTGATCTTTTTGAAAAGAGTTGTTTTCGGTGTGTTTCTGATGTGATTATATTAATGCCTGCATAAGCTAACTTAATGTTCCAGCTGATAGAGGTTGGGATAATTTTAATTAGTTTATACAGCTATACAGGGTGAACTGTGTAAAAAATGTGGGGCTGCCAGAGGAGCTGAACAGGAGTTCACTTCAAACACCCCAGTCTGAGTCGCCCTCTGCTGGTCATCTCTTAATACTCACACTATAATATTCCTGCCCTGTTTGCACTAATATAATTGCATCTGATGTGGTACTGTGTAGGCCTGTTTGGTTTCACACCGGTCACACCAGAGGCAGAGAAAAGACCGGACAGTGCCTGTGGTGTGACCCCAGGGAGGGGTAGAGAGAGCAGCAGCTTCTTCAGAGAACTGTTGGTCAAAGTAACCTTGTTAGACCAGTGCAAGAGTCCTGACAGGGAACTGAGGATTTGGTTGCTGCAAATTTGGTCTGTGATGTTTTGTGTTCATCCCTAGGGAGGCATTTATCCTCTTACCATGTCTGTCCCTACCATTTCCTCTTTTATGATGGGGAACTCATGTCATACCTGTTGAGAAGAGTGTTCACCATGACAAATTTAAAACGTTCAACCAGACATCAAGATTTTGTGACCTTATTTATAGAGCCACTGGTGCAGTAGAAATCTACAGTCAAACTTCATTCTCACCCCAGTCACTGAACCTACTGGGATACTTCCATTCTTCATTTTGTTGTAATATCACCAGAGCAACTCAAGCTGTTGTCTAAACACTGTTTTGAAGGCTGGGAGCACAAACAAGAAAGCAGACTGAAAAAGGGTCATAGCTGGGATGGATCCATAGGGACACTGGCACCAGGCTGAAACCTGATTAGCCCCTAAAACGCCCCTGTCCTATCACTAGACTTACTTCACAGCACCTCTTGTGCATTGAATCCAAGCAGGTAAAGTCATTAGACATGAAAGAGTTTATGAGGCATTTCGGCAGTAGTCATAAAATCCATATAAATGTTTTTAAGTTGAGCAGAATTATATATTTAAGTTGGAGATTTAGCATATTAACAATTTCTAATCATTAATATCAATTTATGTTTTTATGTCTACAACAAGCCGCACTGAAGTTCACTGATGATACTGATGACTTGTTTTCACTGCAAGGATACCATGATGTAGCATGATTCAGTACACTTTGCTGCACACAATTGCATCTCAGCTGCTTGTAAAATATTAAGCTATAAATACATAAGTACATAACTAA